GGTGTCTCCGCCCGCCGAGCTCCACGGTCAGTGCAAGTCTTCGCTATCGGGGGCTGGGACTGGGGTGGGTGTGGGGGTAGACGTCTGCTGGTCTCTGGGTTGGGGGGAGCCCGGAGCGTAGCCGCCCAGGGCCCTGCAGCTTGGGCGACCCTCTGCAGCAGGGGCTGGCACCCACCTGCCCAAGGGCGCGCGGTGGGGGCGGGCGCCTTGCTGCGGGGGTGAGCTGTGGAATGGTTTGGGGGTGGGGAACTCATCGAAAGCACCTCACCTACCCAGACGCGATTCGGATTTTTTAGTGAAAGGAAGCCCAGCACTTTTCCCTGGGTGTCCCTTCTTCCCCAGGCGTGCAAGAACTTGGAGGAACATCACGCCCTTGTCGCTTGCTCCAAAGCCACTTGTGAGGTTGGCTCTGCAGCCTTTCCTGCCTCCCTAGCTTCTCCTACCCACTCGCCCTGAGTATGCCAAGGGTACCCAAGGGCATTCGGCCTGAGGGACTCGTGTGTTCCACAAAACCCCCAGTGAAGCTCGTGTTGGACACCCGCCTGTGGAGATCTGGGCGTCTGGTTCTGCGCTCTCCTTTAAAGGCACTTGTTGCCTTTCACGTGCAGAAAACAAGGGCTGTTTCTAGATAATCCGCCTCTGTTTACACCATCCTAAGGGCTTTCGCTGATAGGGTTGGGGGTGGCGGTGTACTGTAGTCAGGCGTGTTACTAAGGAGAGTCACTCATTTCTTAACCCAGAGAGCAAAACCACAGAAAACTTGTAAAAAGTTCCCAGTCTATTTGTTTTTGTTTTTTATTTTCTCCACTCGGAGTTGTGTATGGTTTTTCCACCTCCCACCGCTTGGGTTTGAAATACTAGCTAATGGAGAAACCTCTTGGCAGTCATTTCACGTAAATGACCTGCTCTAAAGGCGTGCCATTTTGGTCAGGTTGGAATTTGTCAATTACTAATCACAGGTGAACTTCGATTCTGAGAGTCTGCTACAGGAAATGGTTCAAGTATCAGCACAAGAATTCAATCCTCCTCCTTAATCCTAACGGTAGCACGCTAGCAAACTCTTAGACCCCAAACAGGAAGACTGTTGGATCTAAAGACCACATGGGTCAGGTCTGAGCCTGAGGTGTTACACTAGAGCAGCCGCTGGCTGTGACCAGTGAGTACAAGCACAGCTTGACTCAGGTCCACAGAACAAGCTACGCACCATCCTTGTAAACACATGCATTAGAGCCCGTTCTTCCATTAGATTTCTGTTTTCCACCCACAGATAACATGGTATCCATATGACCTTGCCAAGTGTCCTTACGTTAGTCTGTGGAGAACCGATGGGGATGTCATAAGAACTGACTGCTGTGGGGGTGTCATTGATGGGGAGGAGGGGAGGCGGTTTTAGTGGGAGCTGGCTCACATCATGATAAGAACCCACAGCCTTTGGCCTTAGCCATCCAGCAGTCAGCTAAGCAAGTAGACCAGGGTGCTGGAGGGGGTGGGGGAAGACTCCCTCTCTGGTGAGTGGCATAATCCCCACCTGATAGCCAGTGCACCTCATGAAATATCCTCCCGGCCGACTCTCACGGGCAGAAAGCCCATTCGTAACTCTCCATTTCTGGAAAAGACCTTCTCTCCATCTCATTTTCCAGAGAACAATGACTGAAGGTTCCATTCCGATTAAAAAACAGGAGGGTTTAGTCACTAGAACAGCACAAGATACTGAAGTTTTTTGTTTTTTTTTTTTTTCCCCCTCCATCTCTGTGGTCTGAAGAGGAGGGTGACAATAAATTTTGCTCTTGGAATCCTAAGTCTCCCCTTTGGAATGAAAATGGTGACATTTTGTAGATCTCTCAATATTGGGGCAGATACTCCAGACTTTAAGCAGCAGGAAAAAAAAAAAAAAAAACTGCAAACAACTTGTAATTAAGCCTGTGCAGAACTGACAAGTACATGGCATATACCTCTAGCTTTAAAAAAAAATTGATATTTTTATCAGTTCATCAGAGTGAGTCAAGTCCTACAATCAAAGATAAGGGAGGCATTATGGTGGCTCTTGCCACTTTGGGCCATGAGATTTGATGATCACTTAACTGCTTTCAGACTCACAGATTACTTTGTGAGTAAAAAGGAAATGTTGTCCCTGCCTCCCTAGAGTTCTAAAGCTCAAGTTGGATAACAGATACATATATAGTAATACCTCATAGATAATGTACTATTTATTGATAAAATGGTATTTTTTTCAGATTCCTGGGGAAAATCCCTGAGGAAGGCAAAGCAGACAACACTTGTAACTTTACTGCATCCCTTCGATATAACTTGAATAAATCTTACTTTATCCAGATAATGACTAAACCTAAGCTTTAGTAATTTCCCATGGTAACTATCAAAATGTCTAAAAGTGGTTCGTACCAACTTCGAATGAACTCTGGAAAAAGACACAATTTTTAAAAACGGAATTATGACCTGGTTGTATACATCACAGACACACACACACACACCATTGTGTAATGAGGTTGTGGTCTTCATTTTAAGATTCATAAAGACCCGTAGAAAAGGAAATGTACAACATATTGAAATGGGAGGCATTTCTTATTTACTTTGGATGATTCTGTTACCACCAACCTTCTATGTCTTTTCTCTAAGGATTAAAGAGGAAACCTAGACTTGCCGGACAAGAGGCAGAATTTGCTCTCTATAATTTGCTCAGACACACACACACACACACATATACACAACAGATGGTCTTTAAAAATGTCTCACTACACGCTTGAGTCTATTGCTGCATCGAAATTCTGAAGACTTCTTTAAAACATGTTAAGTACAAATAAGGAATGAAACGACAAAGGGCTTTAATGGTTAAGTGCTGAGGCTCGAAGTCGAACTGACCTGCCTTAAAATCCCAACACTGCCACCCCCATCTGTGGCTTCCCAAGCGACTTCGCTTTCCTGAGCCTCTGTTCCCTGTCTCTATAATGGAACTCCGCCTGCCTCTCAGGATCCCCGTCTGGATTAGAGGGATATCACACATATAAAGTATTTGGCACCGTGATTGGCACATCACATATGTAGCTACATGGATGTTCAAAAAATAACGATGAGCAGATATCCCTTGGAACACCATTAAGTATGACCCGCCTAAGATTGTCCTTTACTCCCGTTTCGCTCATTGATGAATATGATGATAATTTCTGAGGGATGAAAAAGCAAGACAACTACCGTTAAAGGTGCAGGTCAGGCCCATAGCTAGTGGTTAAGGAAGCTGGATCTCTACGACCAACCATGGTTCTAATCCCAACCATGGCAGACTGAGAAACATGCTAGGCACATGTGCATGGATGCTAAAATCCTGACAGGCTGGAGAAATGGAGGAGAGGGGATGTGGTCTGACCACATCCCATTGGGTGTGCCTCCTCTCTCTCTGTGTCTCTCTCTCTCTCCCTCTCTCTCTCATTCTGTCTGGTGAATGCACATACTCTCCAACAAAAACAATGTAGATTGTAGATATTAATCATACATTAATCATCAAGGTTTTCGAAATAAACAGTTTTTATCAGTTATGTTTATTTGACACGGATTGTTAAATGTATTGACAATGTCAACCTGAGTTCTGATTTTCAATGAACATTTTGTGATACTTTAGATGACTCTTGTATTTTACTCCTGTGTTCATTATTTACCATATGCAAAACAGCACACATTTGGTGATACTGAATTTCCTTTTCTTTTTTTTTTTTTAAAGGTTTTTGTTATAGGGTGCATGCACTCACCAGAAAGACAGAGAGAGACAGAGAGACAGAAAGTGAGAAATCATCACCCCGGAGGGGATGGCCACGCCACAATCCCTTCTCCTCCATTCTGCTCTTGGGATCTTGGGCACAGACACACACACACCTGGTGTGAGTTTAAGCCACCGGATCCAGAACTTGAACCACGGTTGACCACATGGGAGTTCAGCAACATAGCCATTACACCAACTGCTGGTCCCAGATACTTATTTTAATTACACAATTTGCTCATTTTATTTTATGCCTCAATACTTTTTCTCAGTATTTAATGTCTTTTCTCTTTCCTTGATTAAATACAGTTCTGTATCTTAGCACTTGAGGATTTTTGTAATGCAGGTTCTCTTTATCCTGGGAAGAGAAAAAAGTAGCAAATACTGGAAAGAAACTAATATAAACTCATCCATATTATGAGCTAATGTAAATATATTGGATCACTCGAAAAGTCATGAGGTATTTTTTTCTGTTTTTCTATGCAAAAAATGCATCATGACTTTCCCAACCACCAAATAGCTATAGCTATGAGTGGAGATGAGATAGAAATAGATAGAGAAGGGCCATTAGGTGTGGTGGTGGTTAGGTCACTGGACTCCCACATGGTGGACTGCAGTTTGAGTCCTGGACCTGGCAGCTTGCTCTCTCTCTCTCTCTCTCTCTTTCTCACTTTCTCTCTGTATCTCTCTACTGAGCACACATGCCCTATAGAAAATTAAAATATAAAGGGTCAGCAGGTGGTGTAGTGGTTATAGCACTGGAATCCCACATGGCCAACTGAGTTCAAGTCCCAGACCTGGAAACCTTCTCTTTCTCTCTCTGGTCAAATGGACTAATAATAATAATAAATAAAATTAAATGAATAAATCTTTTTCAAGAGGCTTGGGTTTTTTGTTTTTTTTTTTTACCTTAGGGTGTGTGCACTCACCACAGAGATAGAGACAGAGACAATGAGAAGGAAAGTGAGAAATCATCCCACAGCAGGGGTAGCAACACCTCAATCCCTTCTCCTCTATTCTCCTCCTGGATCTTGAGCACACACACCTGGTGTGATTTTTCAAGCCACCGCATCCAGGACTTGCACCCCGATCAGCCATTGGGGAGTCCAGCAACATAACTGCTATACCATCTGCTGTCCCCAGCGAATAATTGTCTTTTAAAACAATTTTTAATGGGACCAGCAGTTGGCGTAATGGCTATGTCACTGGATTCCCATGTAGTCAACCATTGTTCGAGTCCCAGACCCAGTGGCTTAAACTCACATCAGGCACATGTGAATGCGTGCCCAAGATCCCGAAAGGAGAATGGAGGAGAAGGGATTACTGAGGCGTGGCCATCCCCCATGGGGAGTGATTTCTTGCTTTCTGTCCCTCTGTCTCTCTCTATCTTTCTGACAAGCACACACCCCCTATAGCAAAAACTTCTCAAAAAAAATTTTTAAGAAAACTAATAATTAAAATTAAATAAATAATTCTTTAATGAAAAAAAAAAAAAGAAATAGAGATAAAGAGATACATCTTGCCCTAATAAAGCTTTGGTCTTTTCTGATTGGCTTCCCTGTGGGGTAACCTGACATAACTATATCTAATTACCAAATATATTTTTTATTTGTATAAAAACCAGTAAATAATCATTAACTATGATTGTTTTGGCAACTGGATTTTGTGATCATCATTTTTCTCTTTCCAGGGGGAAAAAAAGGAAAACTAAGGCTATAAAAACAAGGCGATAAGTGACACTTCTTCAAATTGGCATCAAGATGGAAGCCTTTTGCCTCTGGACATCCTTTTGGCTGGCTCTGGTTGGATGTGTAGTCAGTGATAATCCAGAGAGATACAGTACAAATCTAAGCAATCACATGGACAATTTCACCACCTTCCATGGGACAGACGTCCACTTCCCGGTTACCACTCACCGACCCACTAATTTGGCTCTACCCAGCAATGGCTCTATGCACAACTACTGCCCACAGCAGACCAAAATCACTGCTGCTTTCAAATACATTAACACTGTGATATCTTGTACGATTTTCATCGTGGGGATGGTGGGAAATGCAACCCTGCTCAGGATCATTTACCAGAACAAGTGCATGAGGAATGGCCCCAACGCGCTGATAGCCAGCCTTGCCCTCGGAGACCTTATCTACGTGGTCATCGATCTTCCTATCAACGTATTCAAGGTAGGCAGTAACCGCAAGCATGTCTGATTCCACAGCAGAACTGGCGCAGACTTCTCAACCTTTGGAGTTTGGATCTGGGTTTTCACTGAAAACTATCTCTGTTGTCTTAAAACCTAGTGGCATTTAAAAATTGTACTATCTATCATGCGCTACACTTATTTTATCCCTAACTGTTAACCAAATAGTATTTCAGGGATGACTCTCAAACTCATGGTGTTTCATGAATTGGATTTTCATGGCAGCCCTGAGCTTTCTGGTTGGATGGGTGGTCATGGGAAGGTCACTGGGCCTTTCTGAAATTCAGTTTCCACTCTGAGACATACTGAGCCCAGAGGACTTCAATGACTCTTCAATTTCAGTTACCTTTTTAATGTGATCCTTTTAAGAAGTCAGATACCTATAGTGTGGCTTAAAATGAAAAGTACCAGGCCCAGGAGGTGGCATGGTAGTTAAAGCACTGGATTCCCACATGGCCAAATGGTTCAAATCCTGGACCTGTCAGCTTGCTTTTTCACTCTCTCTCTCTCTCTTTCTCTGTCTCTCTGTGTTAAGCATACCTACCCTAGAACCAGTTAAAAATAATAATAAATAAAATTAAATAAACAGTTCCTATTTTTTTAAAAAAAGAAAAGTACCTCTTTTATTTTGACTGGCTGGATTGATGATTGAAGCCAAAGGACATCCTGGCTTTCCTCAGTGATCTGGTGACTTAGAGGTAATGGGGTCCACGTGATAGCAGGTCACTGCTGACCTCGTTAATCACTGTTACTAATGGTAACCATTTGAAATAGGCCTTGGTTAACCTATCTCCTTCATTTCTTCAGCTGACATTTCTCAGGTGCCCACTGTGCTGGCCCCAAAGCCAGACAGTAAGGCTCCAAAGACAAATAAGATAAACTGAGTGGCCAGGGGAAAAGGCAGAAACCTAGCCAGCCATTACTGTAATCACCTTGCTTTAGAGACTATGTAGTGCCCAAACGATAGCCAAAAGGAATCAGCTATCCCACATTTGGCCTAGTAGTTGGAAGGGGGAATGCAAATGTACTAAGATGCAAATGAAACCGCATGATTCATACCAGATTGTATGCTGTCTTCATTCTAGGCCCAGGGAAAGCGCTTTCTGCAGCCATTTTTCTTCTCTGTATTATCTATAGAAACAATCATTGTCAATGATAATAGTCCGTGCTACTACTTTAAATGGCAAGTTTGATCATCTGAAGACAGGATACATTTTAAGTAGAAAGCAATTTCTCCATTCCCAGCAAATACAGTTAAACTGCAATGAAATTATAGTAGCCTGTCAGAAAAATCAGTGGTCCAACAGAAAAGACGAAAACAATGAATGAAACTTGTGAATATCACACATGAAAATCTTTCCAAATTACACGATACATTGTTAAGGAAACTGGACAAATCAGACCAAAAAATAATCGAACTGTTGTGTTGACGGAAAAGTCATGACGTATTTTTTTTCTATTTTTCTATGCAAAAATGCATCATGACTTTGCCAACAATCCAATACTATTACCATCTCTTTCCATGGAATAGTGTAAAGACAGGGGTTTTCCAGGTGATCTTAGAGTGGGCTTTTGGAATCAGACTGTGGTACAAAATTGAAAATGTGAAATTAATTTGCTACAGAACCTTTGATTACTTTCTTTTACAGTTTTCTCTTTATGAACTCTTATACACAGACAACACTTGACCATCTTATGATGTTTCTCTTTCATGATAGATTTGGAAACGTTGACCTGAATCTTACTCAAAATTTGATTTTGCAGCAGTTGTATTGGGGAGTATTCTTTTTTTTTTTAATCTTTCAATAAACTATAAGGTGTATGCTCTCATTAGAGAGATAGAAAGACCAAAAGCGAGAAATCACCTTCCGGGAGGGATGGCTGCACCGCAGTCCCTTCTTCTGTCAGAATTTTGGACACAGACACATATATCCCAGGCATGAGTTTCAAGTCACCGGGTCTGGGACTCAAACCATGGTCAACCATGTGGGAGTCCAGCACCTTAGCCACTATGTCACCTCCTGACCCCATATTGGGGAGTATTAAACATTGATTATTCATACTTATGCCCTAGTTAGCCAAACCATCTTACTCAAGAGAATAATTAACTGTCTCTGGATTAATAACCCCGTACTGCTGGTCCCTCTGAAGCTACATGGACTTGACTCTGTACCAAGCAGCTTCTTGGCAATGTCAGTGACTTCTGGGAAGGGAACCTGCTTATCTCCGCGAGATGCTTCTGCCAGTCACCAAACCAAACTGTATTCTTTTCCATAGCAGCATTTTAAGTCAGATCATTTGGAATGTTTCCAAATCTGGTGCAAATCCAAATACAACTTTGTTTGATAATCATATAGCTATGGACAAAAACTAACACATCCTCATTTGACCATTTCATTCTTTGCTCCTAGAAACTCGACACTTTCTATACCTTACTATGGTTCTAAATAACGTGGACTTTCACCATGGTATTTCTATATCAGAGGAATACATTTGTGTAATTCCCATTTTTGTAAAACTCATGTAATGAGTCATGTAACCAACATTAATTTCAGAAAGTAAACCTTTTGGGACCAGCAGTTGGTATAATGGCTGTGTTGCTGGCCTCTCATGTAGTCGACCATGGTTCGAGTCCCAGACCCCGTGGCCTAAACTCATGCCAGGTGTGTGTGCATGCATGCCCGAAGTCCTGAGAGGAGAATGGAGAAAGATTGCAGCGTGGCCATCCCTGCCCCCCCACCCCGAGGGGTGATTTCTCGTTTTCTGTCTCTCTCTTTCTGGTGAGTGCAGGTGCCCTATAGCAAAAAAATTTAAAAAGTAAATCTTCTAAGCTGAAATAAAAAAAAGTACTCTTTATTCTTTTCAATCTTTTCCTTTGGAAAAGAGAAATGTACTGAAGCAAGCTAAAACACCTCACAATATTTAGGGGTTACTATCACTACATTTTTCTGTTGTCCTGTTCTTTGGTCGGGAGATCATAACAATTTGCTATTGCTCTGACTTCTACCAGAATAGTCCAGAAAAATTGTTCCAGGAGTATGAGCCCCCAGCCTCCTGTTTCTCTCCTCCACAGCCACCTCCTTCCTTAAGGTTCCTGGAACTCAGTCTCATGTCAGACCTGTGGACTCCTCCTACCATGTCAAGTTCAACATGTATTCTGTACTGCAGGCCAAGGTAGCTGGTCATTTCACTTTACCATTAGTACATGTAGGTTCCTCTGAAAAGCTTGCTTAGGCTTGGAGAACATTCTCTTTCAGAAACACATGAACATCCCTTATCTTCCCACTTTTAGAAGAATTAGATGGACAGAAGAATGATTGAAAGTATCTGCTATGTGCTTCAAAGAAAGTTACATTTTTAAATCACATGTAGTGTTAAACAGATTCTATCGGTAGCTTTTTTCCCCCCAGTTTTTTTTTTTTTGTTATACAGTGTGTGTGTGTTCACCAGAGAGAGAGAGAGAGAAAGAGAGCAAAAGTGAGAAATAACCTCCTCCCTCGGGGAGGGATGGCCATGCTGCAGTCCCTTCTTCATTCTTCTCTTGGGATTTTGGGCATGCACGCTCATGCACCTGGTGTGTTCCTCAAGCCACCAGATCCAGTTCTGGAACCACGCACCCATGTGGGATCCAGTGCCTTAACCACCACACCGTCTGCTGGCCCTTTCTACTCAGTTCTAAGGTGTCTCCAGACAGAGAGCATTTCGTGAGTCCTGGAAGAGCAGCCTAAGTAAAGTACACAATGTGAAGATAGTATCTGGAGGCAAGCTAGAATTGCTGATTAGACTGTAGTCATGTTCCAAGAAAAAAAGAGCATGATAAAGTGTTCTTTCTATTAACATTTTATCCCTTTCTCTCACTTTGAAAGAGATCGTACTGAAACTCTTCGCTGTACCAATGTCATGTACAATACAATGGAAAAGCCATGCAGGGGTGTCCAACGGCTGAGCTGTGTCTGGACTATCGTTAGTCTATGCAGCTAGTGCAGATGGCTCTAGTTAGTCTGCAGACGTGGGAGGGGCTCGCTCTGCACCTAAATTTCTGGAATTCTCTTAATTCTCCATATCTTCAGACTGCATTCTTCAACCTCTCCTGGACTTTGCTTCCACTTGTCGAGGACCTCTGCTTCCCACTGGTACGCATAGCCTCCCATGTTTAGCTGTCAAGGCTCTCCATGCTCTGGACATACTTATGGCCTCTTACTCATCCCAACGTGCACGCTCAGCTCTTCTCAGAATGCCGTCCCTACCCTGAGGAACATTCTTTGTCCTAGATAACATTCTCAGAGAGACCAGAAATAGCGCCTGACTTGTTGCTGCTGAAGCACTTACAGATCCTGCATTGAAAAAGGATTTAGATCTGGAGTTATGTACAGTGCATCAAAATAAACCAAAAACTGGGACCAGCAGTTAGCGCAATGGCTATGTTGCTGGACTCCCATGTAGCTGACCATGGTTCGCGTCCCGGACCCGGTGGCTTAAAATTCATGCCGGGTGCATGTGCATGCGTGCCCAAGATTCCGAGAGAAGAATGGAGGAAAAGGGATTGCGGCATGGCCATCCCCCCTGGGGGGTGCTTTCTCGCTTTCTGTCTCTCTGTCTTTCTCTGTCTTTCTGGCGAGCACAGGGGCCCTGTAGCAAAAACCTCTCCCAAAAAAATAATTAATTAATTAATTAATTAATTAATAAACAAACCAAAAAATGAAGAGAAACTCCCCTGGCCCTTGCTTAAACACACACACACATACCATACAACCTAGTGACGAAAGAAAGTTAGACTATCTGAAAAAAGACAATATCAAGCAGAAGGAAGCCAAGAAAGCAGATAAAAGCCAGTTTTTTCTTGGGCATTTAGCAAAACAGACCTTGCAAATGGTAATGTGGAAGAAAAGCTCCTAGGTTGTCGGAAAAGTCATGATGTATTTTTATGATTTTTCTATGCAAAAATGCATCCTGACCTTTCTGACAATTCAATATTACTAAGTT